AGATATTTAAAAAACAGTTTTGTTGATTAAAAATCACTATATCGGATTCATATCGGTATCGGCAGATATCCAAATTTATGATATCGGTATCGGTATCGGACATAAAAAAGTGGTATCGTGCCATCTCTATTAATAATGCCATCATCTGCATCAACTGGTTATCAGCTACATCACAGTGGCCTCGCCACTGTGTGGAACGTTACATAACATAAGCCTCATGTGAAAGAAATAGCACTCGCGATAGCCACAGCAGCTTTATTTAACATTGTTGATAGAGCTGTCTTTACTCCATGCACTCTATGTGCTGCTATTGTTTTGAGCATTTCTTACAGATAATGGCATAACAGTCATTGTTTTGGTCTGCTGAATGATACGATGCCTGGTAGTACACACAAGACTCCATTCTGTAGGTATCTGAAGAGATTAGAAGAGCTGTTCGTGATGCAAGACCTGCACCTATGAAATCACATCGTCTTTTAAAAGTCTTTCACCCAGTCTTTTTTGTTGTCCTGCTAATTCTAGTGGTGGTGCTGTTTCTTCTCAGCCTCATATGCACACATCCCGAAAGCACCAGCACACTCACTAACACATACATAATGTATGGGATCATGGCTATTGAAACACTGGGGAGTTAGACCTCAACAGTTCCTCTTCTACATCTCTCCAGTAGCTATTACTGTGTGTCATGTGTCTGTGTCTCTATTTCTGGTCTCCTCTCTGCTGTAGTGTAACTTTGAAAAAGAAAAAGCATATGTACAGTTATACAAAGACTTAACCTATTATTCTCAGTCTGTGTATAGATTTAGGCAGTTCTCAAGTCGTCTCTCTCTAACTCTTGCATTAGTGAAAGTAATGATTGTCCAATATTAGTTAGCTCCATGTCCAACATGATAAGCTCAGTTTTACTAGTGATACTAGAGCAATTCTGCATTTCAATGCAGGATTCAAAAGAGAACTACAAATCAAGCTTTGGTCTCATTTATAATGAGCTAAAGAGACCTTACCTTCACAGACCTGAGCTTGAAGATAAGGTACTGGCAGCCCTCATTTTCTGGCACATTTGCTGCTACAGCAACAGGAAATAACTCTTTCTCTACCTTCTCTCTCTTGGAAAAATACTTTTTTACCCTCAGCTACAAAAGACAATGCACAGTGTTTTTCTTCCTCTCTCTTTTTCTATGATGCACCCATAGCAGCTTGTGTTCAGTAGAGCTGCAGCTTGAATGACGTATGCTTGTAAATTGTATGTGGGTGTATAAATAGACATTGAAATACATCTGAATCAAACACTTAGGGGTTAGAAGTCACTCAGATACAGATTTCTTTTAAGCGTGTTACCACTGCAAGCAGCATTCTATTGGACAATCTGGAGCGCCTCAAAAGGACGCGGAAGGGTACCTTTAGCATTACTATGAGACACCTTGGGCCGTGACAAATCGTAGGTATGTTAGGCGTTGGGAAATAAAATGCTCTGTATTTTTGCTGGTGTCAAATGTCAAAACAGGTCAAATTTGACCAGAACACTAGGTAAGGATCAAATCTCTAATTATATTTAATTATATTTAACAGTGTTTTGTGTGCGTGCCCCATGAGCGTCTCCACAAAACAAGCAAAATAATAAAAAAAAACCAAAAACCCACTAATAACACTAGATTAGGTTTTCTTGAAACAAAACAACAAAAAACTCAGACTTTGTAATGTCAGCCTCCATTTTTTCAGTTTTTCTGTTTATATGTAATGTCAAAAACAAAGTATCCAATAGTGAGAAAATAATATTTACCTTTGGCTTTATTCCAAAGAAGGCATTTGTTGAGTTAAACGTTAATATTTATCACCAAAATGCACATAAAAAACAGAGTAGGAAAAGTTGATTGAGTCACTGAGATTTTGTTTATTTTGTTTGAGCACGTGTTTGTATGTGTACATATGTGCGCATGTGTATGCAGTGTGTAAATGTTTATGCATATGTATATATAGCTGAGCAAGATCTTCCCACAAGCACCGTGCACAGAATAAATCTGAACTCCAAACACATTTAATAAAATTCAACGAGCCTGACTTTGGAAAGGCACAAAGATGTGGTGTTTTATCTGACAAACAGCACTTGAATTTTGCTTGTCTTGATGGAACTCGAACAGGAAAAGCAGCTGTGTCATAATTGGTTCTTTATGTACACCAGCTCTTTCTGCCCCCTCCTGAGAAAATAGCTGAGGAAAGTCAATGGACTCAAGTGTGCAAGCAGCTTACAGCCCACAAATCAATGAATGACTTTTCAGTGGGAACTGTTTGCGTGTGTGAGTGTGTTACTGCTCGACAGGGTGTGACAACATAAAGTCTCCTCATTATGTTGGACGGCCCATTATTTTCTACTTGTTTAAGGAATCAAATGCTGGGATTGGTGGTGAAAGTACTCAGGCGTGCTGGGAGGTCGCGAGGTCAAACTGGTTTAATAGAACCTCAGAGTGTGGATGTGCTAGCTGCTGCACACGCTATGAAGACGGTGTTATTTGGCTGCACAATGACAACCACTTAGCAACTAGAAATGTTGATATCAAGTTCTTAATTGTAATACAGTGAATATTTTCTTGGTTTGTTCTTATTTATATAGAGACAACATCACTATAGTTTCTGTTATATTCCCTTAAAAGAAAGTAAGAAGCACATAGATGGTAGGGGTGCAACGATATTCGTATCGATATTGAACCGTTCGATACAGTGCTTTCGGTTCGGTACGCATATGTAT